AACAGAGCGCGCGTAGAACGCGTTTGAGAACTGAGTGCCATTTTTCAACGCTGTTGCTCTGAGGGTGGTAAACCGAGCTGTGCACTACGCGAATGCCGCATTTTTCTAGAAAGGTCGTGGTCAGGGCGCTAGTAAAAACGCTCCCTTGGTCACTTTGCACCTCTGCCGGAAATCCTATCCGAGCAAACACCGACAGAAGCGCGTCAACTACCCCGGCGGAACTAAGCTCTTTTAAGGGGATTGCTTCCGGAAACTTAGTCGCGGGGCAAAGCATGGTCAAGATGTACCGGTATCCCGAATCGGTCACCGGAAGAGGTCCCACGACGTCAATCACCAGACGTCGGAACGGTTCGGTGATTAGTGGTACTAGCTTCAGTGGCGCCTTTTGCTTGTCAGTGGGCTTTCCAACGCGTTGACAGGCATCGCACGAGCGCACAAACTCTTCCACCTCCTTGAAACAACCCGGCCAGTAAAATTCCTGTAGCAATCGTGCCTTGGTTTTCTTTACGCCTAAGTGACACGACCAAGAGCTACCATGCGAAAGACAGAGAAGGTCCCTGCGATACTTTGTCGGAACTACTAGCTGGTCATAACTGACCCCTTTGCGATCCCTGTACTGTCGGTAAACCACGCCAGAACGAGTGTGGAACGAAACGTTCTGCTTAGCCACTCCCTCCCTTTGAGTGTGGTTTGTCATGTTACTCAGGGTGGGGTCACTCGCCTGTTCGGCCGCTAAAGTGTCTCTGTCCACCTCCACCAGGCTCTGAAAACTCGATGAGTGAGGCGAGAGAAAATTTCCCTCTTCCTCCGGAGTTGGTCTATCTACTTGTTCCTGATCCTCAGCCGGATCACTCCCACTGTCACTGCTCTCTCGGGGCGCAACTTCAATCACTTCAGGGATCTCGATGGAGTCAGAAGTAGTTGACCCATTGTGCTTTTCGTCCCGACTGCCCTCACTACCGTGTTCGGTCGACTGCTTAGCTGCGAGCTCGCGCGCCTTGGAACGTGTCAAAGCCTGGACAACTCCTTCCCCAAAGCTTAGGCCCTTTTCCCTCAGAAGGTGATCGGATCTGTTTGAAAAGAGGTAAGGGTACCTCTCGGGCAGGGACTTTGATACCGCGGCTTCTACTTCTATTTCCCCGAAAGGCCCCTCCACTTTGACCTTGGCAATCGGCAGACATACGCTGTTCTCCTCAACGACCTGTCTAATCCAGGCGCACTCGCCTGTAAAGTCAGATGGACTTACGTAGGACGGATGAATCACGTCCATTGTAGCGGCTGAGTCACGGAGAACTTTGCAAGGTCTACCGTTCACCACCAAGTCGTGCATGTAGGGCTCCAACAGACGCATGTTCTCATCGTCTTCACTCACGAAAGAAAACACTACTCGTGGTTTACGGCACCCGGCAGCGAAGTGCCCTGGCTCGTGACACCTAAAGCATACTGAAGGTTTTCGGGACTCGAACGCCTTCCCGTGCCCTTTCTCCTCGGGTTTCTTTCCTCCGTTTTCGCCCTCCTTCGCCGCCCCATCTGCGCTACCGTTGTGGCCACCCTTCTCTTTCCCTTGCCGTAACCTGTCCTTAAACCCCGCGCCGGTCCCTTTCGAGGGGTCTCTGTGCTGGCGACCGCGCCATTCGGGAAGCACGCCACGACGAGAGCTGAACTCTTCAGCGAGTTCCGCCGCTCGCTGTACCGTCTTCACGTCAGGCCGGTCCTGCACCCAGTAGCGGGTTTCTTCGGGCAAGGTACTAAAAAACTGTTCCAGACAGACGCACTCTACCACCTTGTCATGGTCCCCAAAAACCTCGGAACCCTTTAGCCATTCCTCTAAGTTCGACTTCAGGCTGTACGCGAACTCAGGATAAGACTCGCTGGTCTTTTTCCTTACTTCGCGGAATCGCTTGCGAAAAGCGTCGGCGGACAACCTGTACTTTCTGAGGAGGCCCGATTTTACTTTTGTGTAGTCCTCCGAGTCTTCCCTACTCAGCCTGGCTACCACGTCCGCCGCCTCACACGGCAACAACGTCAAGAGGCGCTGAGGCCACGACTCCCGAGAGAAACTTGCCTTCTCGCAAGCCCTCTCAAAATTGACGAGGAATAGGCCTATATCCTCGCCAACCCTGTAGGGCTGCAAAAGATTCTTCATTTTCCAGCCCTGCTGCCCCACTGAACTTGGTTTCCCAGTTGCCCGCGCAAGCTCGAGGTCGATCCTGGCCTTCTCGATTGCTCTCTCCTCGGACTCTTTCTGCGCCTTTTCTCTTTCCACGCGTTTCCTTTCTTCCTCTTGCTCTCTTTTCTCGCGTTTCCTTTCTTCCTCTTGCTCTCTTTTCTCGCGTTCCTGAATAAACTCCCAACACTCCTGCAGTTCGTCTCCGTCAACACCCGACCGATGAATTGCATCCATAATTTGAGGCTTTCTTTTCAGGCCCGCAATGTCGATCCCCAACTCTAGGCAAATTGCCTCTAGATCTGGTTTGCGTAGTGCCTTAACATCCATGATACCTGACGTGTAAGTCACTTTTCCTATCACACACCTGGAAGTAGCCCTTTTCTTTCTTCCAGGTAGACGTTCAGAACCAGATTAAATATTACTCCTTGATATCCAAATCCTGGTAAATCTCAAAGGAAAAGTGTCGAACACTCACCGGTGCCGCAGCCCGAACTCCGCAGGTTCCGTGCCGTCGCTCCCATCAGGTCTCTTCCGCGGCTTGGAGTCGAATCTCACCAGGTCTTCTCAGTGGCTTGGAGTCGAATCGTACCGCTGCCATCCAGTTGTTGTGACTCGGGGCTTGTCCATGTAGTCGATCTCCGCTGGAGCCATGCGTCGCCCAGGACATCGGGCAGAGTTGGTAGCGAGCCAGGGTGTCTCTTCTCAAACTGTTTATTTACATTCTATGTACAGTCTGCCGTACGGCATGAGAACAACGTGAGAACACACCGAGAGCGCGTAAAACCGCTCTTTTTATAAGGTCCCCCTTCCCTACGTCTCTAGGCCAGGACGCCGTTCCCCAACTGGTCAGGCCCCGCCCACTAGCACGCACAAGCCCACAGCGTAGTAGCGGCCGGACATCACATCCCGGCGCTGAGTCACTCCCGCTCTCGAATGCCGCGCCGAAAGGCGACAACAAAGGGTCCACTCTCAGCCGGGGAGACGACGCTGGCCGAGGTGGTGCCGATCTCTCCATTAGGCGGCTTTGTGGCACGAAAAGGGTTGGGCCGGAACAACCGCAAGTGGCGTCCGAAGATGATCCGTGCTGAACACACCCTCACGGAGGTCCCGCAGCTGGCGCACCGTCATCCGGAATCTTCGCACAATAATCCCCGGTTCCTGCGTCGGGTGACCCTGTTTCGGGCCAGTGTAATCCCCGCCAGAAGTAAGGGTCTGGCTCAGCTTCGCGCCTAGGTGTGGCGGCAACAACACGGTGGTCCTCCGTCGAAAGCCATCCCTTTGTCGCCGCTCGCTTCGTTTCCGGGCTCAATCTCAACTGACCGGAACCATATGGCGACGATTCTCAAGGGGGTTCCCCAGTGCCGGGTGGTTTAGATCGAGACGGTCTGGTCCGGGGGCCATTCATAACACCATGTCCCTCCGAATCAGTGAAATGATTACTGCCGCACATTGCTGCTTCTCTTGTACTCTGGGCAGCGCCGCTTTTTTCCGCTGACCGATAAGAGCTGTCCTGTCCGACTGCTATGTCTAGCTATACGACAGCGGCAAAATACGAAATTTTAGATCAGTTTAATCTACATTGATACTGGTGGCTTTGTAGATTGAGCTGAAAATGCTCGGTTCAATGGGAAGTGCATTGGCGTAAAACATACAAAGTGGAAATGACAAAGCGCGTCATTCGTTTTTCGCCTTTTGTAGTTTTCGGCGTTATGACTTTTCGGCATTTCAACTTTTCGGCGTTTCAATTTTTCAGCGTCCTGACGTTCGGCTTTTTAATAATTCGGCCAATTGAGTTTCGGCGTTTTGATAGGGACCCCCACCGAACACCGTTTCTTTTGTACGGCGTATGAACAGTAAGACTGCGACACTGTTCGTTAGTCATACAAAAGACAGTTTGCAAGCACGAGTCACCGGGAATATCCGTGGTTCGAATGCCGCCATTCGTTTCCCAAAACCTTCACCGTCACGCGCAGTCGGCGCTTCAAAGAATGTCGCTACTCGTCGGAAGCTCTTACCTAGGAACTTTGCCTACAAGCAGATACATTCTTTGAAGCGCCGACTGCGTGACGGTGCAGATTTTGGGAAGCAAATAGCGGCGCAAAGCGGAAGAGTGCACTGAATGAGGCAAATTAGTTCCTACGGAACGTGCTTTTTTATTCGCATTAGTTGTCGTGACTCGTAAAGAGCAGCATCGAGGGACTTTAGGCTTTAGCAGGTGACCTAGCAAACCGACAGAGAGAGCAAGCGCTGTGACGATGCATTAGGTCGCTGCTTGATTGCCTCCGGATCATTGCCTCTGCTAGCTGCTGTCAAATGCATTAGCAGAAGACGCGTACTACGTAGAGCGTGGCATTTCAGGATTGAATTCGTTGTTTGCACGAACAGTCGCGCAAAAAGAAAACCATTTTTGAAAGATTTTGAGATAAAGTGTACATGTGACGTGATACATAAACTATACGACACATCGCGTTTTTTTTTTTGTTTTTTTTTTTTTGCCACCACGTGAGAGAGAAAGACGGAAGCTGCTTTTATAGGAATTTCGAGCGACGGGTTAAACCTTCCGTAACCTTCTTGGGGGAAGTATAGAGACGTCTGGAGAAATCTGGGAGACAGAACAGAGGGTCTTAAATAAGAGGGGAGCTCCTTCTTCTCTCCTTCTTTAGTGGCCATCGGAGCGGTCTTTCAATGACGTCACGTGCAAGCCATGTATACCCACCTCAGTGCCGTAGCCAGGAATAGTTTTCGGGGGGGGGGGGGGGGGTGACTGAGGATTGTACGGAGGGGGGGGGGGGGGGGGGAAGGGGGAGGGGGTTCAAAATGGATGCGTGTAATGTGCACGCTTGCAAGTACGGCCTCAGGGCGCCGCCATACTGCTCAGTTTGGGTGTGCTTGGGCACGACAATAATCCGAGTACTACGCCTTAGCAAGGCATCGTGATCGGATTATGACGCGTCCAAGCGCACCCCAACCAAGCAAGATGGCGGAGTTCTGAAGCCGGACTTCCAAACGCGTATATGGTCGGCTGCATTGCTCTGACAGGGTACTATATTTAGCGGATTTAATGTAAACTATACAGCATATTAACGCTTGTAAGGCACTTTGGACGGCCCGCAAAAATCGGTTTCTCAACGTATCGTGCTGGTGGACGATTACAGGGAACCAAATCAAGGAATGACCTTACCTCATTCAAAAAAAGAAGAAAAAAAACTTTTAGCCTTTCCACTTTGGTGAAGAAGGAAGACCAGCGAAGCTGTACTGTGGTGGGAATGAACAATTAGGTAATGGCCTGCCGCAAGTCGGCAAGCCAGAGGGGACAGGCTGGAAAGGTTTCCGCCGTCGCTCATAGATGGCGGTAGCTGCCCAGAGTTTTGAGTTATAATTTGTTTGCTGGCGGACATGATACTGGTGAAACTAGTCCTTAACAGCTTCGCTGTAAACACTTATTCTAGGCAGTGTAGACTGTCACTTCGCAGCACGCAAAGAGAGAAGTGCTGCCGACAGATGCCGTACGCAATGTCGAGGACCGCCGGCCGATCCGGGTTGATTGCAGACGATCTCGCAGAAGAACCCGAATCGGCCGGCGATATTTCGACGCAGCGTACACCATCTGCCGCCAGCACTTCTCTCTAGGCGTGCTGCGAAGTGGCGGCGTAGATTGCCCCGAAGAAGTTTTCGTTTTGTTTTTCTCATCAATGAGGTAAGTCCATTCCTCGATTTTCTACCTGTAAACTTCCACCACCTGCTTGCACCTCTGTAGTAAATTGTAGCGAGACACGTTAAGAAACCGATTTTTGCGGGCCGTTTAAAGTGCCTGAGAAGGGTTAGTTTCTGACTACAGGTTCATCGCTGACATCTTTCCCTCTCTCAACGCAGGAGCGCGCTCAGCTCGTCCTGCCGTGGGTGGTGATGGGCATCATCGACATTGTGCTCAGCATCGTCGGCATGGCCGTGCTGGGAATAGCAGCTGTAAGGGACCTTTAGTGTCATCTGTGTGCCAATCACCTTGATCAAGAGCTGTGGTCTCCAAACTTTTTGTCGAAAGGGCCGGATCGGGGATCAGTTCCTGTCTCGAGGGCGGGGAAATAAATAAGTATTTATAAATGAGAAATAAACTTAATAAATTATTCCAGATAAGCACCTAAATACAAAATTGGAAGTTAGAGTAAAACCTTTTTTTTGTGAATGAAAAGATATACCTTATTTTGAAATTCAGTATTTAGCTAATTATGACATAACACAATAATTGGTACCCAGGAAACTCACAAGTTATAAATCAAAGCGCGAAGGAACTTTAACATGTCCACGCGGGGCAGAATACTAATGTGAATGACAGAACTGACGCTCACAATATGCCATAGACACGACACAGGGCACTAGGTGCAATATACGCACATGGGAATGCAAATGAATTTTAACATACGTATACTTACACAGATATGAAAGAAAGGACTAAGAATGGTTATGCATGTGATGACATATTTGCAATGGATATATAATATGAAGAGAGGACAATATTATGGATAGGCAGGTTTCTCTTCTTTTATATAGTATCTTCGTTCACGCGGTCGGTCCGTGCTCCGACGCCATTTCTTCACGTGCGCTTATTTTCGCGGCGGTAGCAGCGGGCCCGCTGAAAGCGAGCCGCGGGCCGGACTACGTTGGAAATACCTCGGCCGGCCACCGGTCGATCGGAAGACCTCCGCAGGCCGGGTTTGACCCGCGGGCAGGGATTCGTAGACCCCTGACCTAGAAAATCACCGATGTTGATAGCAACAAAATCTCAAAACCAAGAATGTTCATTTTGGTGTCCTGTCTCTACCTATAACGTTCGATTACAGATCAAACCGACAAGTACTCCAAACAACACTACCCTGATTTATTTATTAATTTTTAGAGCGCAGTTCTTAGGCGCCCGTTCCCGGCTTAAGCGGCGTCGCCATCGCCGTCGGCGTCGGCGTAACCGCGAGTAACCCTCGTAACCCTCGTGAGGGTTACGAGGGTTACAAGGGTTACTCTCACGAAGGTTACCCTCGTAACCCTCACGAGGGTTACGAGGGTTAGTTACCCTCAAAAGGGTTACCCTCGCGAGGGTCACCCTCAAAAGGGTTACCCTCACGAGGGTCACGAGAGTTATGAGTTACCCTCACGAGGGTTACTAGGGTTACCCTCACGAGAGTCACGATGGTTACCCAGGTCACGTGACCCCCACCCCCCAAGGTCACGTGACCCCCGTTGACGTCATCGCCACTGATGACGTCATCAGTGACGTCACGGATGAACGTCACTGGCATCCGCATCGTCATCGTCACTGATGACGTCATCAGCATTGTCACGTGACCCTCGAAGGTCACGTGACCCCTCCGCCACCCGAGGTCACTTGACCCACCCCCCAGTGCCCTTCCCTCCTCCCCAACAGCTGCGCTCTAATTCTGCGTTACAGGGAGTTGTAAACGGCTTTCATTTTTTTTGTCGTATGACAATAATAAAAATTTACATATTACTGTGAGAGCCTGAGTTCTGACAAGAAAGAACGAAAGTCTTATAGGTCTGTATCTATACACAGAATCGAGCGCTCAACAGCGCGTTCACTGACGCACGTAGTGGAATCACGAAGTGGAATCTTTTTCATATCGCTGCGCAAAACTCAGAATAAAACATCCGAATGCCTTTATAGACAAAACTTATACCGCAAATTCTCTAAAAAAAATATATATATATAGACCCGCGATCTTTTTTTTTAAGTCATGGCGAGGGCGGTTTGGTGGCAGGCAGGCAGAAAACCTTACTATTTATTTATTTTATTTTTTACTTTAATGTCTGTGACGGGAGAAAGGTAGCACCCAAACCTAGGCAATGTACTCGTGTGCGTTCAGTTTCTTCTGCAGAGAAGTTAAATGATGCCGCCATTGGAAGCGTAGGTTTCGCCGAACCCTGCTCTCCGGTTCGGCTATATGTACAGACTTGGCAGAAGGACGTCGGGAAGGGCCTTTTGTTCCGAACCAAGAGTATGGTGGTGCCTGGAGCGAGCGCGTCTCCGACTGGTGTGCTCAGCAAGTGGCAACAAATGACGTCACAGAGGCTGGAGTGTCACGCTGTCGGATGTCGCTATCCTGGCGGCTGGTCGTAGAAATGCTCGTGAAAAGCGTGAGCGAACGCGAGTGTCGCTGTCGTCGCGGCGTCCCACCTCCTGGCTGCCGAAGCTTCAATGGAATGTGAAACGGGAGCGCGGCCTGCAGCGGGACAGGCGTCTGCCACTCACACCACCGCGCTGCTGGGACGCCGCCAGGATCGCGACCGGCGACAGCATGCCACTCCTATGACGTCATGAGGCGGAAATCGAGAGACCACTTTTTTTTAGGATCCGGTAAACACACCGGTCGGAGACGCGATCCAGGCCCCGTAACGGGAGTAACTCCTCATTTACGTGTTTTTGTTGTTTTCTCTCTCTCTCTTCCTCTACAGACAAGTGGGGGCGAACAGTTTGGCACCGACAACACCGAATGGCTCGCCGCATTTGCCGGGCTCTGCGCAGTTTTTTTCATAATGATGGTAGGTGCTCTTTTCTCGGAAGAATGACATTCAGAAATTCTAATCACGGTCAGGATTTAAAAAAAAGAAAGCATATATATATATATATATATATATATATATATATATATATATATATATATATATATATATATATATATATATATATATAAATGCTAGCGTTGCTAGCTTTGTGCCTGCTTCACGAGTGGTAACTTTGACGCGCCCTCGAGTTTCCCACTAGCTTCAAGTCGTTCTAAAAGGAGTTGATTTATTGGTTTTTGATGACGCTCAGTAAGTTTTTAATTGGAACCATATGTATATTTTCACTAATTAAAAAGTTAATCAACGAATTTAAATTAATTGGCCGACTTATCGCAAAGATTATCGACCCACATAATGTCCCCCTGGTCGTATAACTCACCTGCACAAACCGCATAAGTGTAACTTTTACGGCTTTTTTAAAACGAATCTGTACAGATTTAAAAAAAGAACATTTTTATGGTGTGTTTAAAAAAACACCACATATATATATATATATATATATATATATATATATATATATATATATATATATATATATATATATATATATATATATATATATGGTGCGTGTATTTTGCTTTTTTTAATCTGTAAAGATTTGTTATAAAAAAAAAGCTGTGGAAGTTACAGTTATGCGGTTTGTGCAGGTGAGTTATACGGCCAGGGGGACATTATGTGGGCCAATAATCTTTGCGATAAGTCGGCCAATTAATTTAAATTCGTTAATTAACCTTTTAGTTAGTGAAAATAGACACATGGTTCCAATTAAAAACTTACTGAGCGTCATCAAAAACCACTAAATCAACTTTTTTTTAGAACGACTTGAAGCTCGTGGGAAACTTGAGGGCGCGTCAAAGTTACCACTTGTAAAGCAGGCGCAAAGCTAGTAGTGGCGGAACCGGAACGCGATGATAATCTTATCATCCGCGTTCCGCCAGTTGTCACTGTCGCTGTATCTCAGCCACAACGACAATGATAGACTGTTAAAGGGGTCGTGCAACAAAGTTGGCTAAAATTGTTTCCCACTCTACACAAGTTTACTGACCCTAGTGGGACCCAAGTACAGGGTGTTTTCACCGACGTCATTTCGTCCATCATTTTGTTATGAGCAGTCTGGTGCGTGCAGGAGGCGAGAACTCCGAAGATTCACGTCACACACTCAAATTGGTAGAGCACAAAAGCTTATTAGTTTCCATCACACATACATCTAACAACAAAATGGCAGATTGACGTCATTTGAAAACACCCTATTAGCGATGTACGCGGCCAAAAGCGTCGCTGCGGTCAGCTTTACACGATTGGCCGAACCATGGGCATATGAGCACTGTCAGAGGGTCAACTTTGACTGTGTTAGTTTCGGATTGCGATGGCTCCTAGCTTCTACTGTGATTTTTAAACCCACTATCAAACTCGTCGTCGCACCCGATGCGAAGTAGCCAGGATAACAACTGGTGACGTCACGGCGAGGCAAATCCCAGTCGTGACGTCACGGAGGGAAACCAAAAGAGGGCGCTACCGAAACATCTCGGCGCTAATAATAACGTCCTATTAACGACCAACGAGCTTCTTTGTACCCTCACAATTTCAAGGATGAAAGCGGACGTTTTCTTTCACTATCTCCTTCGTCAAAGTTGATGGCGAAGTTGTGGAAATCGAATTGTCGGCGTTGTCAACAATGAAGGATTTTGTCATCAGACCTCGCAATCCCCGCGGTGAGGATATTTAAATTCGGGCAATCAGAAATCTTGCCGACTCTCTCGTCGAAAGCCCTGCTTAGGACCCCTGATCACGTTGCCGCTTGTTCTGGCTATGAGTTGAGCGGGTGAACACTGTTTGTTTTTCTTGATTTTTTTTTTTTCTTTCTTCTGCGATTGCTTTTACGCAAAAAAAAAAAAAAAAAAAAAAAAAGGAACTAACGCGTGTATTATAGGTTATGATTTTCAAGGAATAATTCTACATGATATTTACTGAAAGTACACAAATTGCAGCCTCACAACCTTTAAAAATGCTCCTATTTGTTTTCCCCCAGGTTTACTTCACCCTTTGCGTACTCTCGTATTTTGAAGAGCTCGTCAAAAAGCCGGACACAAGTAAGTCATTTGTTCCTAGCATCAAAGACATCCAAATATTTTACCAAAAATGCCTTTTTTTTTTGTAAAAAAAAATTGTAATTTGTACAAAACTAATTAAGTAATTGATCTGGCTTTTTTTGTAGTTGGTTTTAAATTCAAAGGAAAGGGAACTTGCGTAAGAGTTATCTTAGCCCCGGGGGCCAAGGGTGATCATGGTGGTAACTAGAAAAAGAGGCGAAATGGGCTAATTATCTAGTTAATTAACAAAATCTTGCCCTGCAGAACCCAAGATCCCAGGTTCAATCCAGACCCCTGCCCGCAGTACCGGTGTGCGGTCGTGTATTACTACTGCGTGGTGCACGTTAAAGGGATACAGAACCGTAATTTCGAGCTCACAAAACAAGGCTGGGCGGATGGGCTGCCAAACCCTAAAACATCACTCAGACAGCAATATCTCTAACAGATCGCCGTATTTTCGAGAAAAAAAACAAGCGCGTGACTGAACACGGCCAACGAGGCCGACTCTAAGGCCGACGAGACAAGTCACCGTCACGATTTTCATTCTTTCTCCTCCTCGCTACGTCCACATTGAGCTCGAGGAGGAGAGAAGCGAGGCCGCTTCCCCTCATTCTCAGCTGTTCCAGGAGGTTCATGACGTCATAGCCCTCGCTTGATCGCGCCCTTCTTTTCCAAAAGTATGCCCATCCGTTTGAGATATCGATACATGTGTGAGTGATCTTTTGGAGTTCGTAGCGCCCCGTTCAACCCTTCTGCGGCCTTATTTTGTGAAATCTAAATTTGGGTTCAGTATCACTTTAAAGACCCCAGGCTAGCGGTTATACTGCACTCGCTAAATTGCTCATCTACAGCTGAGAGACAAGTCGCTCATTGAAGGCAGACTAGCTGCAAGGCTGTGTAAACATACCCAGATAGTATTAAAACATAAATATACCTTAATTTTTGGGACCACAATGTATTTGGGGAAATGACCCCCGGCCCTAAAATAGTCTAGCCGTGCCGTCAAATTTTAGTTAAAGAAATTACAAACGACCACAAAAAGTGCGCTGCGGTTAATGGCGGTATAGCTGCTGCGATGTGGAAAGGCATGTTGAAGGAGATGTGCCTTCAGCCAGTGTGCTGTTAAATGTTTGCAAGGGGTTCTTTGCTTTCAGATTTGAATTGATGTAGGAGACGTGTGCAAGACGTGTGCTTTGGTGGAGCAATTGTGCGAGGTGTTGCATGTGTCAGAAAAACGACACAGCGACGTGCTATTTCTTCCTTTTTTTTTCTTTTTTTTTTTTTTTTTGGGGGGGGGGGGGGGGGGGGGCGAGGGGTTTTAAAGTTGTATTTTAGACCGGGAGCGCCCATCCCCGCGCCTGTTGTGGAAGAAGCAAGGAACTTGCGCGAGCTGTTCTGCATTCGCCTCGAGATTCGATCGGCACACTCATGTGGTAAAAGCAGAACAGTTACGCTTTGTTTTAGGAGAAAAAACGAATGCTACGGATGCAAGGTCGAAGCCATCGGAGGCGCTAATGCAGCGCTCGCAGGTCCGTTCACACTCTTGCAACCGAGTACGACCGAGAGAGACCAGACCGATTTTTAAGCCTCTTGCGACCTCTTAGGACCGGATGCGCTGCAGCGGAGCTGGTTCACACGAGAGAGAAATCCCGGAGATTTCTCCCCGGCACGCGCGGATCACGAGACGAAAACGCGAGGCTTTTGCACATCGCAAAGCCTGACGTTTTCGTCACGGGATGTGCGTGCCGTGGAGAAATCCCCGGGATTTCTCCCTCGTGTGAATACCGCTTTAAAGCGAATGGTGGCGGAGCACCCTTTCGTGGCACGTGCCTTGCGCTTGTGGCTTAAAAGGCTTAAAAATGGTCTGGTCTGTCTCGGTCGTACTCGGTTGCAAGATAGTGTGAACGGACCTTAAGAGCTCGTGTTCTCTACCCATGCCCGTGCTCAGTGCCATTAGTATGGATTCTTTATTTCTACTCGCATTGTGGACAGAAGGAATCACCACGTGCCTCATAGATAATAATGGAGAAACAGGAGCCCGCTTCCCCTAAATTGAATCTAGGTCTCGAGGCGAATAGAGGCGCGGGTAGCACACGAGAACGAAACCATGGGCGGGCGGTAGGGAGGGCCGGGGAGCGTGCCGGCGCAGCGCGACCACGCGTGGGTATTTCGTAACGGCAACTGCCGGAAACAAGGCGCAGATCTTGTCCTCTAGATGGTATTAGCAATCCCCATCCCTGCCTCTTTCGGTCTGATGAACATCGTACCGGCGTGCAGTCCTGTACGCGATGCATGTTATAAACCCCAGGCTACCAGGTGAATACCGCACTGGCGAAATTCTACAGAGTGAACCGGTGTTGTAAAACCTCAAAGGTAGACAGACTGACCATACCTAGAGCCACTAAATAAGCTGCGCTTAGAGTATCGGCACTCCGTTCCCCGACATTGTTGTGGGCGCCGCCATTTTGGCTCGTATGCAGAACAGACGCAACAGCCGATCGTCATGATTCAAAAGTGCGACTTCCTCAGCATTAAATTCGGTGTTAGGAAGGTAATGTAATATTGCTTTGCTCTGTCGCGAACGGTTTAAACATTTGTGGAGGGCGGAAAAGCATTTCCTGTGATTTCAGATAAAGCTTCAGATAACTGGCAACCATGATTTTAAGCCACAATATGGCCAAGTGTCGTTACTCTGAAGCGTAGCTTATTTAGTGGCACTAACCATACCCTGTCTAAAAACAAATGTCTAATTGTTTATTATTGTTATTATTATTTTACAGATTTCTTTAAGGGCCGCCGAAGGAGCAGTCCCCACATCATGATCCTCGACCAGCGCCGTGACACTATTCAGGGCGAAGCGAACACCAACGCCGGATTTCAAGCCTAGAAAACGAATCTCAACACACATCTTCTACACCTTAAGGTCTACATGTCTTCCACGTGACGTCATCGCACCATGATGGTGGTCATTCGTACTTGTTCTTGCGAAGAAAAACACATTCAATTGTGCGGAATGTATGCTGGAGCTCAGCAGCAAGGCCACCAGAATGGCAGCTATGACGTCAGTGCAAGCCGTGTATAGAGAATCGCTCTCCAATCTCATTTGCATTTCAGTGATCATCCTTAACGACCACATAAACACAGAACTGTACAGACAATGCCGATGCCTCCGTTTCACTCTCTTTGGTCTCTCTTCAAGTCAGCGGTACACCGTTTCGTACAGAGTGTACAACTGCAATCATGGTACAACGCTGTCAGAGAAACTGGCGCGATGGCGTGTCTCTTTTTTTAGTCAGTGACTGTATAGCAAGGAGGTTATAAATACTAGGAGTGCAGTGTACTAGGAAGGGGCTCGTTGCAATATGTGTGAAGCCCAGTCATAAAAGGTTTAAACGATGCTGTGCCCAACGTGACCGTAGACCTCTGGCAATTCGTGCGCGTGACATGTCACGTGCGAGATGGATTGTTGATTGTAAAATGATTTCTTGCAGGCTTGCGCGCGCTTCGTCCGGTAGGTTTTATTAGATCGAACGCTAGGCGTGAAGCAAGCAAGCAAGAGGTTGAGGCGAACCACGATCAGCCCGTTTGCTCGAAGCACTAACCGCGGCTAAAGGTAGCCGCAGTACCTAGGGGACGGATTTTGAGATCACGTGACTAGCTCGGTAGGGATGCGGGGAAACATGGCGGTGCCCCAGTGAGTGAGCGCCGCTCGCTTTGGAACTAATATGTCGTTGTGGTTGCAATATCGGGCGCGTTAGTCAGCAACGAATGGTGCAGGAGGCTTTCGCTTTGCCTTACCTCACTTAAACCGCAAAGCATGGGTAATGAGATCGCCGCATTTTTTAGATAGCGTTTCGATTCTGGGCACTCCTAAGCCTAAATGAACGCGATAATTGTCGGCATAGCAACGTCTTTGAAAGCGGATGGACCTTTTCCGAGAAGCGTTCTGCGCACGCGCGAGCGCCCGATGCCAAGCGGTGGAAGTCGGCACGAAAAAATCGAGGAAATTCAAAATGAGGCTGTAAATCGACGAGTAGAATACGTAATTGCAGCATATATATAATTGCGTTACACAAAAAAAGAAAGTGGACGGAAAGAAAAACACGACGTTTGGGTGGACGCTACGGATTTCCTTCTTTAAAGTCGCGCTAGGCCTACCTCGTTGCATTGGGCACGCGACGCTGCTCAGAGAGCGAAGCAACTGGTAACGTAGCTCCCATTATTGATTGGTAGCGCAGGTCACTTCCTCGATTTTTTAGTTCGCGCAGCCACCGCCTGGTGCCGTCGGTATATGGAAAAGGTCCATTGTTGATAGCACACAAAAGCAGACGGCGTCTCTACAGACCTTTTTTCTAAATTATCCAAGCACCGAGGTGCATGCTACGACTGTAGTTGCACGCGTCGCACGTGCTGGCGTCTGCAGTAGTAACCGTTCTAAAGCAAAAAGTATAAAACAAATTTTGCCTCGCACGCGCGGTCGTCAAAGCCTTATTATGATTTTTTACTTCAAATCTTTTATAAGAGGAAGGCCAGCGCACGTGGACCGTAGAATTACACTTCCAGCGTCCTCCTCGCGATGCTTGGATAATTTAGAAAAACGTCTGGGGACGCTGTCTACTTTTGTGTGCTATCAACAATCCGCACTCCAAAGACGTTGCCATGCCGACAATTATCGCGTTCATTTAGGCTTAGGAATGCCCAGAATCGAAACACTATCTAAAAAATGCGGCGATGTCATTGCCCATGCTTTGCGGTTTAAGTGAGGTAAGACAAAGCGAAAGCCTCCTGCATTATTCGTTGCTGACTAACGCGCCCGATATTGTAGCTACAACGACATATTACTTCCAAAGCGACCGGCGCTCACTCACTGGGGCACCGCCATGTTTCCTCGCATCCCTACCGAGCCAGTCACATGATCTCAAAATCCCTCTCCTAGGTACTGCGGCTAACTTTAGCCGCGGTTAGCGCTTCGAGCAAACGGGCCCAGGCGACACACCGCTGCTGGTACACGAGACGATCAGGGCAATCGCCGCAATCGCAACGGAGAAAACGAAAGCCTGGCGTCGCCGGGACGCTAATTTTTTCCGGCTACGGGATGGGCGCTTGCAGTGTGGTCGGCTGCCGTAATTTGACTGGCTTTTCTTCAGTGGGGGTTACCTTTTACCGGTAAACGCTTGGCGTATTACACACATATAGTTTTACGATAACGGGGATCGATCAAGAGTTCTCTCAGATTTCCGACGGTCGCCGAACTGCGGAAACGATGGATTTCGGCCGTTGGTCGCGGCGGTGGCTGGACCCCATCGAAGTGTTCAATGATTTTTTTTTATCCACACAACATACATCAGACAGTTGTCTAGGAGGCCGTCGCAAAAGACAACTAAGTGCCTGACGAGGCGTCGACCCCCCCCCCCCCCCCCCTCCCTCACATCACTCAGCGTGGCACACACGAGTGTGTGCCACGCTGTGTGCAGCCATGGTGACCTCCGTGCACTTCCAATAGTCAATAAAACATCTACCATCCTCGAGTCAAGTTGAGCTGGTTCAATTTAAAACGTCCCAGTGGACGACCTGCATAGCGGCCGCAACAAAAAGAAATGAGCCAGACGTAATGTAGCGTGATATTACATGAGAGCGATGAGAGCGCAGCTATCAAATTTGCCGGCGGGCGCGAAAATCATCGCTGTGAAAGTGCATAGGTATTGGTCCAACCTGTTGGGTCGACATAGTAACGCAGTCATGTGTGTATATAATTTGTTCTTGGTTTGGCTACTGTAGTAATTAATGGCCACGAGATCAAAAAAAAACTCATCGCTGCTGCACGCAGATGCAAGGTACAGTGCCCCCTCAACGCCGCCACTGGGTTCCCAAACATTGAGTTCGTGTCGGCTACTTACTGTTAAATTTGTCACCAAAACGTTCGGGATCCTTTCTCAGGATGGGATAGAAATCGGAAACCCAAACATTCTACAGATTGTTCAATCAGCCGCCGCAGAGACTGTCAGAGGCGCCCAATGCCGTGGCGGCGTTAAGTTTGAGGCGCACTGTACATTACCCAAAACACGCTTAACAGGCAATCGTTACAGCGCAGACGTTCCATGTTGAGTACTATAGTTTTCAGGATAGTAACGGTCTGTACAAAACAGATAGCATTTACTTTATAGTTGAGGGTACATAACGAAGTGCAGCTGGCGTGAGGAGGGTTAGGAGGAATACGAGAAAAAGGCGAGGCGTCAAGGGAGCATGGCTTGTGGAGGCTACGCGGCTGACGCCATGCCCTTTCTACAACTACCTAAAACTAACGTATGCCCTCGACCCAGTCATTTTTACATTGCCCGCTGATACAGGGTATGCAACCGCGATAGATATATGGGCAAAAAGACTTAGAAACGGACGTCGTGCGTAAGTTAGTTCCGAGTGCTTTTTTTACCGTGTTACTATTTCCGAAAATCCATGGTTGTCTAGCTATCACTGCGTCGTCGTCGGATGCACAAATAATCTTAATAAGCACAAGAACAATCGCGGAAAATTTGCCGCAAGAAGCTGCAGCGAGTGTGGCTGCAATATTATTGAGCTACACATGTTCCCCAAAGATTCTTATATATAAAGTCAGTCCACTGCCTGCGTGGATCGCGAGGCCTTTGCACCAGACTCATCGTCACGTCAATGCTCAAGACTACTTCGTCTACGTCAAGAGGACCGATTCCAACCAGGTGCATCTGCTCCGATTAAGTTATCACTGGAAGGTATACTGCTCCATGGCATTTAAAGGGTATGGAAATGTCTACGTGCCACCACTCAAAGTGCAGCTATCAAATGCCAAGAGCTCACCTACACAGACTACATTAAACTGCTCATATACACCATCGTTGTGTAAGCTTAGTGCCCCGACAGGTGCCCCATGGGCCATGGGTATTAGCACACGAAGCGTGCGCGTGAACGTGTCTCTGCACGTGGCCCGCACGCGCAGAGAAATGGCGGCGGCCAGATGACCTGCTTGTAATCGCCTATTATCGGACTCATTTTGGAGCAACTCTTGAAGTAGCTAATGGTGAATTCCACTGGTAGATCCGGAGCGGTTTCCAAAATCCGCGAGGGAGGCGAAAATCCGCTCCGTGGGACTCTCCAAATCGACGAGCGGAAGGTAGACTCGCATTTTTGGAGAGACCCACCGTAATGTCACTGGATCCTGGGAAAGTTGCACCAAACTCCCCGTATGGTCGCCATTTCGGTCCATGGAATGAACAGTCTCTCCTTGACCTCTCCATTCTCGGGGAGCCGATTTAAATTTGCTGATGACGCTTAACTTCATTAAGAATTTTCTTGAATATCAAGATTATGTTATTCACACACCGGCGAAACAAGCGCAGATGTTCGCACCGCAAGCACATGCGGCGTCGATGCTCGGTGGCAAAGAGAAAAAAAAATGTTACCGCCTTGAAATACGCAAGAACAACAATACCACCGTAAGAGATCTGTGTAGATAAGCATGATTGATTCGTGGATTGCATGCACAGTGCGAAAGACGCTTATATTGGTGAAGAACGCTTTCGTACGATGATGATCCATGACGATCCCGGTGTGACTGGTTCAGAATGACCCTTTCGAAGATTTCAACGGACCAAAATGGCGATTGCCATGAAAACTGGAACCGATCAGCCAATCGCCTCGCGGGATTTGGTCGTCAGTATTTCAGTCTATGTTTGTGTCAGGTTAGCAGGCATGCAGGGAAGGCAATGGGCACTGACGATACTTTCCTAGGATCCACTGACTTTAACCTACCGAAGACGAGCTTTCGTTCAAAATGGCCGCTGCTCGGACTTGCCCGAACTCGAATTTGACGAGCCGATTGAGCTCTCCGATCACTACTGTCGCTGTCCAGCTGGTCCAGCTGCGAAAGCAACACTCGTCGTCTTTGTCACTAATGGAGATATATCTTTCGGCCGCCTGGGAGCGGCGGGGCACGCACAGCGATTGCCATCGGTGGAGCTCAGATTGCTGGTAAGGCACCAATGAACACAAAGAGGTACCAAACCGCCACTTGAACGGTCGTTGTCTAGTCTGTTCTTGCTTTATTACACGAAAATCTGCCGGCGTCATACGGTGGACACTGAATGAAAACACCTAAGCTTCCATCCGCTTTCTGCTTCGGATTTCC